TGAAGCACGTGATCGTAAGCAGGTACTCGCTTGGTGTTAAATAAGGATCAGGCAGACTCAGCAATGGAGAATAAGAAGGTAAGGTTTATTGCCACGCAATAAGGACCCAGTTTGGAATCTCTTCCAAAAGGAACTGGGACCCCGATTGACAGAAATCCAGAGGTCTTTATACCTGAGCAGATCACAGCAAATCATAGATCATGAGACAACCATGAGGCAGTCACGATATTGTCAGTAAAAAATAGCCAATTAGCAAGCTTCTTGCCATGCTTCCAGCTCCTGGTCAAGCACTGGTCAAGCACGGAGTTCTAGTTCTGCTTTCCATTGCTTGCAGTGACGCTCTGTCTAACCTCTCCCCTAGTTATGACAGGACAGGGAGTTTGGAGATTTTGTGGTTTTGCTCTTCCTGTTCTGTGGATTAATTTAGCCTGTATCTGAGGGGTTTTTGTACCAGTATCTCTGATTCACGTCTTCCCCTTGTCCAGGGTACACGGATGTTTGTAGGGGAAAGGTTGGCTCCTAACTTTGCTGTTTCCATGGACTATATGGAACTGGCTGAGATGACCGGCAGAATTCGAGATCAGGAAGAAGGGTTGATGGAAGAAGACTGGAAGATAGATAGATAATACTTTATTCGGCTATAAGCCCACAGGGTAAAACAAATCAATAGATAAAAATCAATAGATAAAATCAATAGCATTTTACAATCTAAAATATCAACTAAAATATTTCAACGCATAATCTCTAAATGTACCGTGTTATGGCCTTGAAGATAAAGATGGTGCATAGAGTTTTCTGAATTTTTAATAGTCATGCAGCATTCCCTGAAGTCTTTTATATGACAGAACTGAGATCAGGAATCTAGCAACCTGTAAAGTTCTATAAGAGTCAATGTCCTGGAGTAGATAAGCTAGATGTAATTCAGGTGGTTTAGCAGCAATTTCCAGAATGATTGAACTCAGGATCCTTGATCGGGGAACATTATATAAGGGGCAATTAAACAAGATATGATAAAGGGATTCTATCGATTTGTTGTCACATGCGCACAAAACAGAGATTTTACCGTTAGAAAATCTATTGCTCAGCACATTTGAGGGGAACACA